GGTTGACGCTATACTTCAGGTTTAATATCTGAGGAGATTCTTAGTCATCCAGGCCATAATTGTCTCAAGGGTGCTTTTTTTCTTCAAAAGGCAACTGGACTGTTGTTGTTTTTTTCTTGAGAAAGAAGAAAACTTTACACATTAGGTTCCTACCCCACTAAGTTGACTTTCCAAAGAAGGAGCTTTCCAAATCAAGCTATTTCACATTCCCAGGTGGCCAGCACAAAATGTGTGCACAAATGGCCTAAATTTAAAGCTTTTAGCATCAAAATTCTGAAGACTAATCTTTCTGTTCAGTTCCTGCCGATTATTAGATCTTTCATCTCTGTTTCGTGTTTGTCCTTCCATTCCTTCTCTGTTAGTTCCTTCATACTGGCATGCCTACATTAAAACGATTTTCATTCCTCAATTTTATTCCCACGGGGAGGGGGTACATTCTGTCGTATCTACTGTATTTGCTTTAACTGGTCCACCCGTGGTCGATACAATTCTTTCTTTCTACATGTTTGAGTCCCAAACTACTTCGTGTTTTCACCTATGCGAAGCCCGCCTTTCAAAGCTCCCAGCTGTGTAAAATAAAATCAGTAAAGCAAACCAGAATGGGAAATTCTGCTCCGTTCTGCAGAAGGATCTGCCTTGAAGACAGAGCTCCCCCTTCCTAAATGCATGTGAAGCGTTCCCTATTAAAACAAGCCTCTCATCCTTGTTCAAACAGAAGCAAATTACACAATGATGGCAGATGAGAATAAACATGCTATCTGGGTAAGGAGAACAAGGGAGTCTCTGGATTATAAACCGCACAGTGGAATTTTCCTTGAAAAGGTAACACTTTTTTTTAGAAGCATTTGATAGCAATGGAGGCCTAATGAGTCAAAACAGGAAAGTAAATTAGGATATCATTCACAACAAATTATTATCTTTCTTGAAATGCCATCGGATTGAGCTGGGTACTATGATGCACTAAATAGCTAGTCTCACTGACTGTGTCACAATCACAACACTTCCCCTCCCTTTCCCCCCAAAATGTTGTTTAGTTGTCAACTTGATGAAAGATATAAATAATGAGAGTGCATTTGTTACTGTGGAACTGCACCCTAATTCAGCCACAGATATCCACTGGTCACAACTATCTTTGTAAGTGAAACAACCCCAATGGGAGCAGATTTCTGAACTGAATGTGTGGTGGGGGGGGTCAAAGAGAATTGGGGGGGGGTCTGTTTGAATATATACATGTCACTGAAAATTGCAGGCAGTGATAGAAAAGGGTTTTGCAAAAATATTGCCGTACGTTGGCAAGATGGGGTTCTTTTGAGTGATAAAGTTTTCTACTTCAAAAACTGTTAGTGGAGAAACGCTTTCCATAAACCGATTTGCCTTACCTACAGTGTCAGAATCAAGCATCAAAATACATCAATAATCTGTGCTGGACTATACATTGACAGATAAGGGGGCTCCTGCATTCCTGGGCACACAGTGGGAGAGGAATTTAAAGAAATTGTGAGGTTTCCTTCCAATCAAACCCAAACATGTTTATGCCCAAGTTACATTTCTATCAAATTCCAAAGATCTGTCCAATTTTTTCAGAGAGTCCCAATCAATCATAAACATCCACTAAATGCCTTACACACTCTAACAATATTGTGGCAGCCTACCCAGGAAAGAAATCATCTGGTTGCAACCTTTTACCATAGTTTTTCCAATTATTGTTTTGCTTGATTTAGAATATTCTTGGACAGTCAATTGCAGAAACAGTTGTCTCAGTTATCTGCTATCTGTCTCTCTCTTTCCAAACACGGCTTCTCTTTCAATTGAGCACCGAGTCACCAATCAATCCTTCCAAAAAGGCAAGGGTAAAATTCCCCAAGCTTTTTAAAGGAATCACTAAAGCCAAATGAATAACGGGCGATTGTATTCTACACCCTCAAATCGGGGCAAAACGTCAGCAACAGTTTGGTAAGATCTTATCCAAAGTTTCTCACACGGCTGTCCGAGAAAGAAAGAAAGAAAGAAAGAAAGAAAGAAAGAAAGAAAGAAAGA